TGCTGATGTCTTCTGTCATTACCTTTCTTAATTTTAACAGTCAGGGAGATAACAATACCACCCATCTCCCAGGAGCATATTTACAAAGGGAGGTAGGGTGATGTTGCTTAGTTTTGGAGTGTTTATTTTTTTTAGCAGCACAGATTTTATCAGTAACTTATTAATAAAAAATAATGTATCACCTAATTTTTCTTTGTAGTACTTTGGCTCTGTGGTTTAAAGCTGATATTAAGTTTGTAAAGGAGAACTTCAGTGTAATATAATACAACGCAAATTAAAAGTTAATTTTACTTAACAGTGCACAGAATGGGGAGAATTATGACCCAAATTATTTTTTATTCCATCTAGTAACCATAGATACAAAAATTTGCTTTTAAGTCCTCTACTAACCAACGGTATGAGAGTTTGCTTTCCTTTTAAATCTGTTTCTTCTGTTGATAGAGTTTGATAAAGACCATTCAAACTGCTACAAGATTTCAGGCTCAGTATTATCAGTCTGAATTGATTCACCTCAGGTCTGTTGGTTGTTTTCTAATGGACACAGATCATCTTTATCTAAAGGACTATTTAGAGCTGCTGCAAATATGTGTTAAAGACTTTGAACTACCATGTTGGTCCAATATATTGCAAGTGAGAATGCAGCCCAGTATTCAGGACTTCTGAGTTTTTTCCCCCTTGGTGGATCACTAAGATCACGAAGATGTGAATTGTTTCTGCTAGGAAATTCCAAAGCTACCAGGTTACTTGAAGCTTAACACCAGGCTTCTCCTTGAAGAAGTCATTAAGTTTGGTTCTCAAGCCTCAATCTAGTGAACATTTTTGGTGCTTGATAGGATTGAGTCCCCTGGGGACTCTAAGGACTTATAAATTCATAATAAAACATGTGTCTTCTGGTACTGGTAAAGGGTCATTTATTTCCAAAGGAAATATAAACAGTCAAATAAGTATGTATGCAATGACTCTCATCAGTTTTTCATCGGTCTGCTACCCTCAGAGCACATGGGCAGCTCTACCTACCTGCTCTGATCAGGGAAGAGGCATTTGATCGACATATATTCTGCTTCTCCTCCATGTTGTATTTTGCCCATTGGATTTCATTGGCTGCAGTCCCTGACAGTCACGGGGTGGAGGTCGGGGGGGAAGGAGGAAGAAAACAAAAGGAAAAAAAAAGGGCAAAACTCTTTGTTTTAAGGCAAGAAAAAGGTCATGGGCTTTTGCATTGTATAATAATTTCATTGTTTAAAACTTTATATAATAGCACATATTTGTTCCATAATTAATGAGAGACTTGAAAGAGTAGTTTTCAACACAGAGTAGCATGTCGTCTCCACCAGGTATTTATCTTTCATTTTCAAGTCTCACTCCCTTGCTTGAGGCCTGGATAAATGGACTTTGTTTATTATATCTCATTATTTTACAGAAAGGTAAATGATAGCCACATCTAGCATCTCGTAGGAGCTGTAATGCTCCTATCAAGAGAGTATCAGCAGTTTCCCCAGCTATGGCTGCTTACCTAGTGGAATTACAGGTCCCAACATGTCCAAGTATGTGGTAGATGCTTATTTTTTAGCATGTCAACTGTCTTTCAAATGATGCTGGATTTGGACCTCAGCTTCTTAAATACCACTGGATTTATCAGGCAACATTCTGCAAATTCCCACTACCACTTACAGCTCACTTAAAATTTGACATTAAATCTCCTTTATTTCAACCTTTTAAAAACTCCTTCTCGGCAAAACTCTATAATTGAATTTATTACCTTCCTGTGGTACTCATATGAAAATGCAAGAAAAGAGAAACCCTAGGTCAAATTCAATGCTCACTTGCATTTTTTTATTATTTGCCCTTTTTTTTTTAATAGCTTGTCATCACTATTGTTTATATTCTTCTTATCTTTAATCTGGAAGGTTGTTTCACTTTTTCATTAGGCAGTAGGTTTTCTATAACAAGTAAATTATGTTGTATTCCAGACCAGCAGGTTTTATTACAGAAGGGAAAGCTTCTGAACTGATGATCAAGAAATGCAAGAGAGAATGGCTGCACCTTCTGATGTGCTTGTTCTGTGTTCTGTAGACCAAATAAAAAAATGCTGGGATGAATAGTGACACCTCAGTCAACCCTCTGATTGTCATTAGAGCCATGTATTTACTGTCATCAGAAGCACTCCTGAAATGTTTTTAAATTCATTTGGGTGAATTATAGATGAATGGGGTACTTCTGCAATCGTACCAATTTATCACTAATCTACTAATCACCAAATGTAAGTAATAACTCATATTATGAATATCAAGTGCAGCTGGTACTAAAAAGTACCTATGTTCCGTAATGAATTTTATGTCTCATTGTCACCTCCTCTAGGCTTCATCAAATCATATGTGTGATTTCTTTTGGCCTTTCTGATTACCTATTGTGATGAAACCTTAAATAAACTGTCATTTCCTCCTTTTCTCTACTGACCATTGTACAGAGACAGCGTTTTAGTGAGAAGGTGGCTAATTCAATCAGATTGAAGAAAGGAACAGTTACTTTCTGGAAATATTTTCTTGTGGAACTCTCTGCTACAAGATATCATTAAGGTCAAGGGTCTGTAAGGCTTAAAAACTGATTGAATGCAAACTCTCAGAGTTACACTGAGGTTAAAAGAATGCAAACAGTCATACCTTATGGCAGATGTCAGTTTTTAACTCATGCAGATTGGGAAGGAATTCCCCTCTAGCCACACGATTTCAGAGTTACCGGTGCCTGTGTTCTTTCACCTTTCTGAAAGATAACCACCATGTCACAGTGAGATTCTGGAGCAGCTGTCTCACTGCCTGAAAGCAATATAACAAACCTGTTGCTTACCTGTAGCTTCAATTTCAAACACTGAATATTTGAAGAATTTAATGAACTAGTGTTTTTTATGAGATTATTTTCAGTGGTTTTGGTTTTAGCATGTATGCCCTCCAAAAGGCTTTATAAATAAACCTGTGAGAGCAAACAGCATGGTTCTTTTTTATTATTATTTATTTTTTTTGTCTCAAGCCTTTCTCTAGAACAGGACCATCAATTCTGTTGTAATATTTGTCTTTGGGTGCCAGCAGTCAGCCTCTTTCAGAGAATCATTCTGTTCCTTTCAAATGCATTACAATCGATTTAGCTCAAATGATAGCAGATAGTCATTACTGTCCTGTGGAAAGTTCTTATTCATCTCCAGCTCCTCTTTGTGATCTATTCTGGTGAGATATTAGATTCTTTAAGGCAGTTCTGGTGAGATTGCTGATTTTTATGAACCAGTCTCTAGTTTTCACCAAAACATACTCATGGTGTGTCTTGAGTTAGTCTGTCCATTTATGCAAATGAAGGTTTATACACTAAGAACATGATATCTCTATGTAGTCTGTGTTAAACTAACAAGAAGTATCTTTGTAAAGCTGATGAGTAGTCCTGATGCCAAACATGGGCATGGAAAGATGTCTGGTGTGTCTTGATGACAAGTGGAAGAGTCTGTCTGATCAGATAATGAGTCTTCTGGTTTTTGCTTAGGTGGAGAGATCAGCTATTGAAGGAGGAGGAGGTGTTGTATTAAGTATGTAATGAGAAGTTGTCTATCCTGAGGCGGCAGCAGTTGTCATTGCCCAAGAAGATAATTTTGTGCTGAATCCATAGCGAGTGTCAATAGAGACTGCTTAGCTGAGCTTTCAGGTGTGAATGTGTTTAATACCGATGAGCCAAGGTCTCCTGTGAATTCAGTGTTGTCTGTCAGGGTTACAGCAAGGGGCAGTGGTATGTTGCAAAGGCAATGTGAGCTGAAGGCAGAGTATTGTTAATGGTTAAGACAACCCAAATTTCAATTTTGTGTAATAGAAAATTACCTCGAAAAAGAAAACAGCTCCTTGGCAAACTTGAGGTTTTGTGGGGTTTCAGGGTTTTTTGTATGGGATCATTCTCATTGACACTTCCAGCTATATTGGGGACGTCTTAGCTAATGCACAACCACAGCAGAGGCTCTTTCTGTAGAGCAGAATCTTCAGCCAACAGTAGGTCCTTCATGGTAAAACTCTGCCTGAGATGCAGCACTTGATGGTTTTATTTGTTTCTTTCTTTCCTTTTGGTTATTTGCTCTTGCAGATGGTTTAAAGGTTATAAAAATACCCATGGAGAATGTTCAGAAGTATTTGATATCATGGTGTTTTCCCAAGTTACCTAATACAGTATTAAAAGAAAAAAAGAAAAACAGGGCTGGCACTACCTCATGTGGGTTGACTGGTAGCCAGTTACTCTGGGAGCAATGCATCCCTCCCTTAAGCTACTGTATTGTTGTCCAATGGTAACATAAAATTATCCTAAAGGTTCTCTAAAGTGGAAAATTTAAGAATATGGGAGTTATCTAGACTTACCCCAACTAGCCTAAAGAAGAAATAACTGAAAGTGTCAGCTATGCTATCCATCATTTAATGAGCAATATCTGTATACATACTTTCAATATTTGTATGCCATCAATAGGATCTAGCCAGAACGGATCCATTGTGGACACAATGCATTAAGACTTTAATCATAATTCCTCTAAGTGTAGCAGGGAGTTGTCTGACTCAACCTCTATATGCTATTTGAAAATGCAAGCTCTGTTCTTGGAGGTACAACCATAAAAGAATATACCTTATTCTTTTGAGCTTCTGACTATTGTGTTAATAGTTAAAGGGAGCTTACTTAAAGGATTATCCAAATCTACAAACATTCAAAGGGGAAACAAATAATATATGAAACGTCGAGTGCAATGAAATGGCACTTTTAAACAATTTTTGGTCAGACATAAATAAATTAGATATTTCCTCTCTTGCTTGGTCAACACCTATGTTCAGAAAAGCAACCTGATTCTTTTTGTAGAAACACAGGTCTCTTTGTCTACAGTACGGTTAAGTATTGCCTTCTATCTCAGGCATTGTTAGTCTTTGTTTTGAGCATCAACTACATCTGGGTGTGTTCTGATGTTGCTAAGAAAATGTTCTGGTTTTCTGCAGGAAATGCTATCAGGCCCATTGCCCTACGGGCAGTGTCTGCCATAGCCCGTGCTCTCCCAGGATTTCCCATCTTGGCAACTGGAGGCATTGATTCTGCTGAAAGTGGGCTCCAGTTTCTGCACAGTGGGGCTTCAGTTTTACAGGTACCTTTTATTTCTTTAAAACATGAAAATTAAAATAGCTGTAATTAAAAGTATAATGTGTCTTCCTCTTATACATTAGGATAGCAGGGGATTTACTGTTTAAAGGAATTTTCATGGATTTAGCTTCATGCTTCTTGCTAAGAGATACTAATTTCATATGGAAGGGAGGAGGAATTGCCATGTCTTTGAAGACTTTGGCTGTGACAATCCCAATCTGGGAAAAGGCTGGCCATGAGTACATCGCCAGTTTTTATTCTGACCTATAGGATTTAAACTTTAAACATCTCTTCATTGTCAGACAAACAAGATTGACACGGAGTTAAGCTTGAGCTGTCTGATCTTCCATCTTTTGTATTTTGTGTAGAGTCTTTCCAAGGGGAGAGGGATTTCAAAGAGCACTACTTTGGTTCTGCGGTGGGCCATTTTAAAGTAACTCTTGTTTATCTAGGCATCTGTGTCCCTTAAGCGTGTTTATTGGAACAGTGAGACGAAGATCTGTACCTCCTGCATATGGTGCTGGCATTGCAGCCCATTGCATTGGAGTGGTGTCAGAATGCAAGCAGTAGTTGAGGCTGTTTACTTTGCCTGATGGGTTGGTTTTGAGGTCTTGGCCAGACTGGCATGGTTGGTTAGTACCTGTGATGGAAGGAAGCCTCGATAGCCTGTTATTATGGCACCAGACAATTGGCTGGAAATCGGCCCCTTACCTGCTCTACGGGGCATGTCAGGGCACTATTGCAGAATATATTTTAGAGGGCCTGGTAAGGAGAAGGTGGTGATAATGTTATATTATTCCATTATAAATTATTACATTTTGGTAGATACTCATCCCCTTTATCTGTAGTTCCCATCGTAGACAATAGCAGCTGTGGATCCTGTGGATATCAGCTTTGTGTCACTCTATGGGGTGACTGGAGTGGTTTCATTCCCACAGTTGACTCTGACATTAAAATTAGATTCAGTGTGACCATCCTTTCTGCACAGCTATGGTGACTGCTGAGATCAGTCATTCGTTTTCTATGTTTCAGGGAGAAAAAAAAAAAAAGGTGGCAAACTCAATAGATTTGGGTTTTTTTAATTCATATCAAAGTTAGCATCTCTGGGAGCTGGAGTTGAAGGCTACTGCTTTTTTTATAGACTTACTATGTTCTTTAGATTTATTAATACCATTTCCTATTTTTATTAGCTTGTATTAGAGTGCTTCAAAGTCTTCTTTTCCAATAGACAGACAAAAGATCTACCTTTGTCACACAATGGTCTGAGAGCTTCTTCCATATAAATACTAAGTAACAATACAAATTATAGAGTAGCATTTAGCTAGGAAAAAAAAGTAGGATTGGCAAGGGAATGCTTCTAGTGGCATAGATGCATTTCATTTGTTACTGCTAATAGAGCCACAGTTTTGATGGCTTTGTCTCTAACAACATTATGTGATCTGAACTACACAGAATGGAGTGATTTTTCTGTTCATTGTCAGTTGTGTCTGTTTCTAGATGACTAAAAATGAAGGGCCTATATGTCATTTATGCATTTTTCCTTTATATAGACTGTATAGTTGTTTATTTTTTATTATTTCTTTTCTTTTTTGTCAGTTTGCCCCAATGGTAATGGGAAATTCTGAAATGTAATTTAATGCAGACATCCCAGTCAGTGCTCAAGACAATGAATATTGGATTTACAAAACATTAATTATTGTTTTCTTTTTAGTAGTAATCAAGTTCTCTGGAATTGGCTTCCATAAATTACTTGGATCTATACCGATCTTCTGCCCTTTACAGAACAATTTCTCTTTTCAACAGATTTTACTTTTCTTGTCCTTAGGCTTCACCAATTTAACTTAAGTCATATCTGGAACTGAACTTAAACTCCTCTGGATAAAACCTATCCTGTTTGAGTGGCTTATTCCTGTTTTACTAAAGTAGGGAAGTCATTTAAACTGATCTGAGATAAATGGATTCTAAAGCTGCTGTGTAGGTAAGGGTCTGAACTAGTTTCATTACATTTATTTAAAAATAAGCCTTTAGTAAACTTCATGCAAGATTGTGAGTGCAGGACTTAAGTCTTTTCCTCATCTTGAGAAAGGCAAATGAAAGGGAGAACAAAACACATAATCTCTATAGACAGCTTTAGAAGAAATACACTTGACTGGTGCTAGACCGAAACTTTTATTTGGTGCTCAGGCATCATACATTGTGATAGACAGAAGAAGACAGCCTCATCTTCATAGGTCATCTTTAGAACCTCATTAGGATTATGAGAATCATTGCTGTTGTTTTCCTTCTTAACAAGTTCGTATGAAAAACTAGCTGTCTCTCCTGTGTCCTTGGTATCAAATGCCCAAGTTGTTTCTTCTTCAACAGTCAAAACCTCTGCTGCCTATTGTAATAGCTTTGACAGTTCTCTTCTGATTTCTCAGTGCCAAAATACAGAGCCAGTACAGAATTCGAAGATCACATCAAATAGAGTGATCTACTGAATGATTCAGCATATTAAAATTCACTGCACAGCAAGTCCCCAAGTTAGTAGAAGCTGGGACTCTTCTGGGGGCAATTATATTTGCATCCCATAGCCTTTTCTTTAGCATCTGTTTTGGACACTGTTGGAGATGGTACCAAATAGACACTTGGACTGACACAATACTACACATTTCATCATCTTCCTTCATGTTTCCAAACACATTTATGTTTAAAACCACAAGGACAACTTCAAGATCGATCCAGAGGCAGAAAGCAAGGCAGTGGGCTTTGGTGGTGCTGGAGTGAACTCTGCGCTCTTGTGTGCTGAATGAGCAGTGGTCTCAAAACCTGGGAGTGGGTACTGCCACTGATGTCAACGCCCTGTTACACAGAACAGTGCGTGGATGTTTCCTCATCAGCAGTATTTTAAAAGGGAGGGGAATGTCAATTCACCCAGCATTAAACATGGTCTGATACTACACAGCAGAACGGGTTGTACTGCTTCATCCACGGAGCCCCGCTGGAGAGCCTGGGAGAGCAGCATTTGCATGGCCATTGGGCTTCCCTTCGTTTTGCCTAGACAAGAGTCCTGTGTCTTCTCTGCCATGAGGGTATGACTTTCATGGACTGAGATAATATGAAGGTTTTGAGTTAATTACAATGTGGCATATCTCTTAGAGAAAAGGTTTATGAATAATAAATGTACCTCCATTAAAAGCAAAATCAGCTTTTCTTCTGGAGCTATTTCACCTGCAATCACTTCTCCATTTTTTTTTTCCCAGTTGCTTTTATTTTTAAAACTTGGGGATTTATTTTCTGTTTACAAAATCATCACATACAGGAATGGAAGTCAGGAGTCAGGTGGTAAGCCATATTTTGGTACGTACTGTAACCACTTCAAGAGGTATTGAGCAAGTGTATTATGGAATAGTTAGGGCGCAGAAAGTTTGAGTATTTAAAGTGTGTTCTATCCCCTCCTTCAGAAGATGGAAGGCAACATCTCAGTGTTGTTACTGGGAAAATGTTCATGTGTGTGTAAGTTTTGCAGCAGGTATAAAAGACAAACTGGATCATTGTAGTCAGTAGTAGCTGCTGTTAAAAATTTTTTTACAGCGATGTAACAGAGCATTGTCCCAATTAAAGTCAGAAACAGTTGTAAAAAGACTCCACTTGGTTTTTAATTTTTCATTAAAAAGGCTGAAACATTTCAATCATTCTCCAGCTGATTCTGTAGCACTGGACTTTTTTTGTAACATACTCAAATCCATCAATGCCTTTTCAGTACAGGCATAAAATTAAAAAACAAAAATAAACAACCCACTTTATTTATGGAGATAATCCTGCACTCATTGCATACCAAAAGCTCCAGAAATGTCTGCATCTTTCTGAGGTACAGTTCATTACTATAGGCTTCCAGTGAGGCTGAAGTGTATTTTTTTAAGTAAGCTTTTTTTAAAGCCTCAGTTTATCAAAATGAGATGTATATCAGATTTTTTTTCATCTTTCGCATCATGTATATGATTTACCATCTCACACTGATGTTTTGTTAGGTTTTTGCAAGGCTTTGAAAGAGGCATAGATTTTTCAAAGTCTTCTTGTTATAGGAAATTAAAAATGGAGACAATTGCAGAAAATTCCAGTGGAAAGAGAAAATGCATTATGGAAAAAGCAATAAAAGCGTAAAAATATTAAAGTAAAAATCACTTCACAGTAGCCAGTATGATTGAATTGTAGATCAATATTTTGTAGTTAATGCATTAGCAGTAGAGCATTAATTTGCAATTACCGCAGGTGATCTGATCCTCTGTGTTCTGTCCATTGACATAAATGACCTTTTGTTGAAAGAGATTCTATAGTCATTATTTCTAGCAGATGTAACAAAAAAAAAGGTAGAACAAAAGGGTGCTTTCTGAATTATACTTGTTTCATGGTAGTCTCTTAACATTATATTCTGGTATGGAATATAATCTTGAATATTGGTCATTAACGTGTAAAGAATATGGGTTCCTTTTCAAACAAATTTCATAAAATCATAGAAATGTCTTTTCTTACAAAGTATGGAGGTCACAGATGTCCCCTGTAGCTCCACCATGGATGCCTGTAAAGCTTTCTACACAGCAGTGATGTAAAATCCACCTACATAATGCTGTTTCCCAGGAGGACAGCCTGTACCTTTGCCCCAAGCCCTGTTTCAGACCTACCTTCACTCATCTCCATCTCCCACTTGCCCTGGGTGGCATGTAGTACCTTGCAGTCCTGTTCCTACAGGCACTGTGCTCTTGTCCTCACCATGTCATATTCAGACCCTGCTGTCTCTGGACCTTGCATTACAACCCTCCTCACCTCTCAGGCAAGGGAATAAGGTGGGAATAGAGCCCACCTCAGAGGCAGAGCTCCTATGATGCTGGTTCTGCCCGGTGCCCTTCTCTCCTGCCCTGCACCAGTTGTGTATGAGATCTTGGGAATCTGAGGTAGAACAAAACCGTCCTAGAACTGTGACAGCCTGTGATAGGAAGCAACAGCAAAGGTTTATGCCTCTGCAAG